GAAGGACCCAAAAATGGGAACAAGAGCGCTCAAGTTTATCCCGAACACCCCAGCACTCGTGGCATGGGGGCCGAAGCCAACGACTTGCCATCTCTCAGATTTGATAAACGGCCGCACAGAAGGTAATATTTTAAATTAACAAGCGTTGCTTAGCACATATGAATAAAGTTTTCAGTGCATAGGATAACAAAATGCGAGTCTACTCAAAAATTACATCTTTGGAGCATTCACCCGCAATAAGGCGGGCACCCTTCAGGACACCCTTATAATACATCTCGGGCGTGCGATACTCCTTGCCCGGCAGTGGTGCGTCCGTCACAAGCTTCTCGGCGTCCATCCTGCCCCAGTGCACTTTAGCACGGGCAAGGGCCCGACGGGCACCTTCAATGCAGGCGGAGTGATTGACGACTTCAACCCATGGACAGGCGTCCACCAGCCACTGCACCAGACCGAAGTAGCTCCCAGGCATGGCTTCTTTGGGCCACAGCCGAACTATGAGGCCCTTCATGGCCTGTTCGGCCACCTTGTGGAGCTCGACCAGCTGCTTCAGCTGGTCTCTCAGGGGCACCGGATGTCTGGCCTCAGCATACTGAGACCAGAACACCTTTTCCGTCGAGCTCCCCTCCTCGGCTCTGTAGAACGCAGCAGCATCGGACACGCTATGGGGCAGATCTGCGAACGCTCCTGGAGAGCTCCGAATTCGGGTAAGTAACAAGTAATTCACTTTTACATGCTTGCTTTGCATGAAGAATGCCTTGCCCGCCGCTATCTTCTTTACTGCCTCGATTTCCTGGAGGGCCTTTTGGGCTTCGGCCTTAGCGGCTTTGACACTCTCAAGAGTCGACGCGAGCTCGGACTCTCGAGTCTTCGAGTCACGCTCCAAACTCTCGTGTTTTTTCACGAGATCCTGGAGCTCTTGCTGCACCTCCGCCACCCGCGCCTCCTGCTTCTCTTGCTCGGTGCGTTCCGCGGCCGCATTGCGTTCGGCCGCGGACACCGCCTCCTTCAGGGTCGCCACCTCGTTCGTAGCCCCTGGAATACCCACGTTATTCCTGTCATTTTTTGCAACCAAATCCTTTTCTATAAGGTACAACTTTAATAAGGTGTTACTTACCTTCCTGGTCCTCGAGCCTCTTCTTGGCACGGCCGAGCTCGCTCTCCGACCGCTCGAGGCTCTGCTTCAATGCGTTGACCTCCGCAGTCAGTGCGGCAGAGGTCAGCAGCGCAGCCTGCATTCCCATATTGACATACTTACGTTAGACTCCTGCGTATATCTTATTAGATCATCAGTTTGGCTTTTCTTTCCGAACACCGAACTGAGCATTAGGGGCTACTGTCTATGCGGTACTATTTTACATATGTTAAAATCCTTACCTCAAAGCCTGTTAAAAGGCTGGTACAGGCTTCAGTCAGCCCGCTCTTAGCGGACTTAACTTTCTGAATCACCGCACTCATAACAGTGCGGTGCTCCTCGTCAATGGAAGCTCCGTTGAGCGCCTCCAGCAAATTATCCGGCGCCTCCGGTTGGACGGAGGTCACCGGCGTCGCTGTCTCACCCTTCTTACGAAGGGGCCGCCCGCCGGACTCCGGAACCACCAAAGGTTCCGGTGCGGAGTCCGGTCCAAAGTCCAAGAGGTTGCCCTGCGGCACCTCCGGGGCCTCCTCCTCCTGGCTGGTCCCTTTCTAGGACCCCGCCTCGGCGTCGTCTGCGTCACGGGGGGAGGAGGCGGTCGGAAGTGAGGCGCTATTCACATCCGATGAACCCAGGGACCCGCTCGACGAAGCGGGAAGGTCATCCTTGGGCGGGCTACATGGTCGTGTTCGGCGTTAGAAGACACTATGCGACGAAAAGAAAATCATGAGCTATTTTGGAATCCGGACACTTACGATCTCGCCAGGGGCTTGGCCCTCGAGGGCCACTCCTCTTCGCCGTCGTCGGCGTTGGTGGAACAGTCCGGAAGAAGGGGCCTCCCCTTCTTGGACCCTTCGGCCTCCCCCGTTGGGGAAGCCTTCCTCTTCTTCTCTACCCCCGCTGGGGGACAGGCCTCTTTCTTCTCCTCCTCGTCTTCGTGGGAGGAGTCCGCCTCGGAGTCATCGGGCGATGAGTCCGATAACACCTGGCGCCGGGAACTCCTCCGGGTTCCCGTGGCCTTCTTCTTGGCCTTCTTCTCCCGCACCACGTAAGGCGCCGGGTCCAGCAGCCCCGTCAAACGGGCGTCCGCTGAGTCTTCTGGAAGGGGAGCCGGACAGTTAACCTGTCTTCTGCCAGGCCTGTTAAAGGTAATGGGAGTTTAGATCCCGCATAGAGTCAAACTATGGAAAACAAGTGTCCCGTAAAGGGTAATATCGCTTTCCTCACCGGCTTGACGCTGCGAGCTGAATCCGCGATCTTCGGTAGCGGATGCGGGAGCCTCGGCGCCCTTGAACAGCACCCTCCAGGCCTCTTCGTGCGTAGTGTCGAAGAGCCTGCTCAAGGTCTGGTGCTGTGCCGGATCGAACTCCCACAAGTTGAAAGCCCGCTGTTGGCACGGGAGAATCCGGCGGATGAGCATGACCTGGACTACGTTGACAAGCTTGAGCTTCTTGTTCACCAGGGTTTGGACACATGATTGGAGTCCGGTCAGCTCCTCCGAATCGCCCCACGTCAGGCCCTTCTCTTTCCAGGAGGTGAGCCGTGTGGGGATGCCAGATCTGAATTCGGGGGCCGCTGCCCATTTAGGGTCACGTGGCTCGGTGACGTAGAACCACCCCGATTGCCATCCTTTGATGGTTTCCACGAAGGCGCCTTCGAGCCAGGTGACGTTGGGCATCTTGCCCACCATGGCGCCTCCGCATTCCGCTTGGCGACCGCCCACTACCTTCGGCTTGACATTAAAAGTCTTTAGCCATAAGCCGAAGTGGGGCTGGATGCAAAGGAAGGCCTCGCACACGACGATAAACACCGAGATGTTGAGGATAAAATTCGGGGCAGATCATGGAAATCCAGACCATAGTAGAACATGAGCCCCCGGACAAATGGGTGGAGTGGAAAGCCAAGACCGCGGAGGAAATGGGGAAGGAACACCACCCTCTCATGGGGCCTGGGGGTTGGGATGAGCTGCCCCTCGTCGGGGAGCCGGTGCGCGATATCGCTAGACAAATATCCGCCCTTGCGCAGCTTTTTGATATGCCCCTCCGTGACGGAGGAGGCCATCCACTTGCCTCCCGCTCCGGACATGGTTGGAGAAGGTTGAGGTGAGATGTGCGGACTTGGGCGCTGGAGCTCGAGTGCGCGGAAATGGATAAGCAAAGGAGGAAGAAGGTGTAGGTAAAAAGGTGGATCCTTATCCCCTTATATGGACGGACGAAGCTATGCGTCCCCACCAGCCTGATAAAACTCGCTTATCTCCCAAGCGCCGCAATCAATGGCGCAGTTGGGTTACCCACGCCCGTATTGATGAGAATCCTGGAATAAGGAGACACGATCTCTGCTTTGACAAGACGTGCCAAGGAAACCGCTTCGCTAAACGCGCTGAGGTGGAACAAAAAAACAATTCGAATAAAGGCTTGGCCGTGGTGTGACGTCATGCCACGAAATACGTCAGTAGATTGAACTTGTATAAATATTATTCTCTCTACGGTTGTATGTGGAATTTATTTTGCAGAGCCGGACACTATCCTGGTGTTCAAAACCTTCTATGAATTATTCAGAGGAGGAACCCGCCTTGCAATGCCGAAGACAATGTGTGCGCCGGACTCGTCGTCATTAAAGCCTGGTTCAGGGCTACTGAGGGAGTCCTGGACTAGGGGGTGTCCGGATAGCCGAACTATCATCTTTGGCCGGACTCCAAGACTATGAAGATATAAGATTGAAGACTTCATCCCGTGTCCGGATGGAACTTTCCTTGGCGTGGAAGGCAAGCTTGGCGATACGGATATGTAGATCTCCTATCCTTGTAACCGACTTTATGTAACCCTAGCCCTCTCCGGTGTCTATATAAACTGGAGGGTTTTAGTCCGTAGGACGAACAACAATCATACCATAGTCTAGCTTCTAGGGTTTAGCCTCCTTGATCTCGTGGTAGATCTACTCTTATACTACCCATACCATCAATATTAATCAAGCAGAAGTAGGATTTTAACTCCACCGAGAGGGCCCAAACCTGGGTAAAAACATTGTGTCCCTTCTTTTCTGTTACCATCCGCCTAGACGCACAGTTCGGGACCCCCTACCCGAGATCCGCCGGTTTTGACACCGACAGCGATGTTTCGCCTGTTGGTTTCGTTCATGTTCGGGTCTGTGACGCTGCCATTTGGCTTTATTTATAAAGTCGGGCTATGGCCTTTTCTCAGAAAAAAAACATTTTAGTCGCTATGGACAGGTGAAACCTTCTGACTTGCGCGATGTTCATGCAACGAATCCGACAAGAGAGAGAGAGCGCGCGCCAGGATTGGCCTCCCTCGTTCGCCAGTTGCTTTTCCGATGGTTGTTAGGCGGAACGTTCGCTAGTTAGCTTTTTCCATGGTTATTGGGCGGAAATAGCTTTCGGTGTCGAACTCGGACCGCACCCCTTCACCTCTTCTTTTTTTTTTTCCGACAGCTCCAGGCCCCTTCATGGCTGTTGTAATCTGCAAATAAATTATGTGTCCTTTCAAATCTGGAAGACCACCGAGCCGAAAGCCAATCATCATGAAGGATCTCTCCGTCCCAAACCAATCATGTACTCCTACTAGGCATAAAAACGACGTGTTAACCGGGTACTGTTTGCTTTCTCCATCTTACAGGTACTAGCCCACAACATTCACTAACAAACAACATATCACTCTCACAGTGACTTTTGAGGAGGCGTCCAAGCTTCAAATTCGCGTGGAGCACGATGATTACGATGCGAATTAACGCATGTTCAGAATAAATCAAACAGATGAAAAGTCAAGGCTGAGAAACAATAATGCACTCCTGCTTGATTAAACAAACTGATATGAAGCAAGGAGGTCAGTGGAGGGAGCTCTAGCCTATACCCATGACAAAACAGAAGCAGGAGCAAGCTGCCACCCCCGGCCCCGCTCTCTTCTCCCTCCACCCTACACTTTTCTTCCTATTCTCGTCGCTAGATACCAACTTCCAGTTCACCCCCGCCGCGACCAAGAGGCAGCCGGCGACGAGGAAGGCGGACGAGGACGAACCTTCGCACTCGCAGGGCGATGACGGGAGGCCGGCGGCCATGGATCATGTCAGGAAGCGCCACCAAGAGAAGGGCTTCCTCTATGACTGGTCAGTAAATTACATGTACACAGGCGCACGCTTGATGCTGTTGTTCTATCTCTTCTTGGTGCCTGCTTGCAGAGTTGCAGTAGCGTCCGTGTCATTGATCTAAGGGTTTTGTATGGCTGCAACTGTGGAAAACATATATGTGTACATAATATGTGGTGCGTCATGTTTTCTTCCTTCATTTGATTGCTGCAGCTTCTTCATGCTGTGCTGCTGCTTCTTCTGCCATGAGGCCTGCGAGCACTGCCGCAAGCGCTTCTGCTGCTGCCGCAACAAGGACGAGTGACCGACCAACCGGTCCGGAATCGGCGCGCATCCGAAGATAAACCTTGTGGATTTGCGATTGTATATTTTCAGTTTGGTTGCCAATTTGCACCATTTTAGTGCACTGGTATATTTTCAGTCCGTGTGTGTACATCTGGAATTGGTCTTCCCCTTGCTTTGCTGATGCCCCTGCATCTCAACACTGTACAACAAGAGACGCAGAATGAGAAAACTGTGGTATTTAGCAAGATGCATACATACGCTCTTTCTTGTAGTTGCTGTCGTACAATTTCAGTCTGTTGTTTTTGCCTATGATTCACACAAACGCTGCCTCTCCTCTCTCTCCATTTCTGCATCATCTGAAGAAAAATGCAGTCCCGATGACATTGCCTGGCTAGGAAGTGCCCAACGTGCTTGGAAGTACAGTAAGCAGTGGCTGAGCCAATATGAGCCATGTATCCGGATTTCCAATACAGTGAGCTACTGAATCAAGCTTGCAAGGGGAAAAGAAAGAAAGAGATGTGACACCCGACCGAACTAACAGAAAAATGGTGCGTACGACACTATGTTTGTCGCAGAAAATACTCAAAGCATGATTGGTCTCTGGGTCCCCTTTGTTTTGCATGATTTTCACAACGAAATTCGTTTCCTATAATCCTGGCACAGCCGTCATCTGAGAGCGACTCTAGCGGTCATATATGATCAATAGCCACAATAATTGGCTGCACGACGATTTTGCCCACAAAGGCCGATCTTGCAGAGTCGCCATTCCGCGCTCGAATGCCATATTTGAAGATCACTCTGAATCGAGCCGGCGAGTCTCCATACTTGGAAGTAAACCTGATCATTTGTCGGGCCGGGTCGGGTTCAGGCCGGGCTTGACAAAGCCCGAAGGAAAAATCCCAAGCCCGAGCCTGGCCTGAAGTACATGAACAGTGGCATTTCTTAATTAAATTAATTATTTTTGAGATATTATATTAATTTATTATACCTATATTTTGAATATAAAAAAATATATGTACATTTCGAGCTTTATTTGGGCTTTCGAGCGAGTTTCGGGTGAGAAAGTGAAGCCTGAGCCTGGCCCGAATGTCGGGCTTCAGGTTCGGGCGGCGGGCCGGGTTTTCCATGAACAGGTTTACTTGGAAGCACCGAAGAGACCTTTGGAGCACACTCCATCTCGAAAACAGTTTGGTGCAAGCGACATTTCCACTCCAGCTCCTCTTTTTGTCGGCACCTCCCCTACCTCACCGTAGCGCCGCCTCTGGCTGCCTGCCCATAGTCCCCGGACTCCGGATGGACCGGTCCCATTCCAGTTTGGAGGCTGATCCCACGACTTCCCCATATATTGTGCCTCCTGCTCCTCTATCGGCCCCAAGGCAGCGCCTAAGCCAGCAACTCGTCCATGTTGCCACCAGGCATCGTAGACTCAAGGCGTCGGCCTCCCCTCCGTAGGTGCCACATCAAAGAAACAGAGGAAGAAGGCAGCGCCCCACGTTCGCCCCCCTCATCCCTTCATCCCTGCGGCATGCGAAACTCAGGCACCTATGCGACACACTCGGAGATTTGCCAATGAGTTAAAAAAAGACCTCCCTTATCTTGTCTTTCGGATGGTTCAATTGAATGTAATGTGATCATGGAAGAGTGATGGTAATTGTGCAATATTTGTGTTTAGTGATGATTTTGTGCATTCGAGGATGGTCAGTAACGAATCATTTCTAGATAGTATAATGGGTGATTCCATTGCGACCAATGATTTCCATCTTGATGGCACATCAGTGGCGCACTTTAAATAGTTGGATGCTCGTCGAGAAGGAAAGCAATTCTGGCCGCAAACTACAGAATGAAAGAGGATGTTGCTCTTTTGAGGGCATGGCAAGACATCACACTAGATGCGCTCGCTAGGAAAATCAAAGAATGCAAACTGTTGGAGGCGCATCGAGTATTGCTATCAACACCTTGGGCATAAATTGAATCGTGTCTCAAATCTCTCACAAACGAATGGGGTATGATTCAAGAGATGTGCAACCATTGAGCGGGTTTTTTGGACCAAGTGAAGCACGCTCCTCCTAGCAGTGTCACCATTGACTAATATGCCAGCACTCTCACTGTTCTTTGATTGCCATATGTGAAATTGGGTGAAGAGATTGCTATGTCGGAGCAGGAACTCATGCACATATATATATATATAATTTGAGAGATTTACAAAGGTTGCTTCACATTGTGCGAGATTTAATCTCTATGATAACTATACAAGAGATAGGATCAATCTGTACAACAATCTGAACTGGGTTACAACAACTCCAAGATGAATATAAAAATGTACATGCACAAGAATATTACATAGGTATTTCAACATCCCCTTTCAATCAAACTTGTCTAAGTTGAGATTGCACTGAAAAGTTTCTAGCTGCCTTACTATAGGAGGTTTAGTAAACCCGTCTGCAACTTGATCTCCTATGGGTATAAACCAAATATTGAGTAACTTATTTAATATTCTTTCTCGGACAAAATTACAATCAACTTCAATATGCTTGGTTCAAGCACGAAATACAGGATTTGCTGACAGATAAGTGGCATCAAGATTATCAAAACATAAGGTTGTTGTTTGTGATTGATTAATACCAAGTTGTAACCGACACTACACCCAAATTACTTCTGTTACATTTGCAAGAGACTTGTATTCTGCCTCAGTGTCGTACCTTGATGTTGCAGCTTGTTTTCTTGCAATCCATGAGACAAGATTGCATCGAAAAAAATATGGCAAAACTTCTGGTGAACTTTCTATCATTAGGATAGCCTACCCAATCAGGATCAGAAAATACACTTACAAGAGATGAGTATGACTTCACAATTTTGAGTCCAGCAGAGAATGTATATCTGGGATATTTAATGATTCTTTCTACTGCTGACCAATGAACAGTTGTAAGAACATGTAGATGTTGACATATCTTATTTACTAAGATGATATATCAGGCCTAGTTAGTGTTGGATATTGAAATGCACCAACTATGCTTTTGTACCTGGTAGAGTCTTCTTCCCCAAGTATTTCACCCTCTGTCATTGACAATTTCTCTAAAGTAGATAAAGATGTGGTGACTGGCTTACAATCATTCACGCCAATTCTTCTAGTTATGTCTGCAATATATTTTCCTTGAGATAAAATAATCCCATTGTATACTGGTGTTACCTCTTTTCCCAAGAACTAATGCAAGACTCCCGGATCATTCAATGAGAAATCCCAACGCAAATCATGGAGTAGGGCTTCAACTACCTTTGGACATGCGCTTGTGATAATAATATCATCAACATAAATAAGCACTTATATGGTTATTCCATTTCTACCTTTGAGGGAGTAAAACCAAGTGACTGTAATTCGGTGAGTACACGAGTGTACCATGCACCTGCTTCATGTTTTAACCCATATAATGCTTTAACTAGCTTGCACAAAAAAAATAGATTCTTGAGATCCTGATATCCTTATGGTTACCTCATATAGACCTCCTCTTTCAGAAAGCCATGAAGAAACTCATTATGCACATCTAACTGTCGCATACACCACCCTCTTGACACAACAATGGCTATTAATCTGATTGTTGTTACCTTGACTACGAGACTGAAAGTGTCTTTGTAGTTAATACCACAATGATACTCTACATGTGCCTTGTACATGTCAATGATACCATCAGATTTTCTTTCAACCACTTACAGTCAATGACGTTGTATCCCCTCTAAAACGGAACTACATGCCACATCTCATTTTTCATGAGAGCAAAATACTTGACATCGATTGCATGCTTCCACTTCACATCACCAAAAGTTTCCAGTAAATTTCCTGGTTCCCTGTACTACAAAAACTAGCCCAATGAATACAATTGTTGTTTTATTATTTAGGACGAAAAATACCATATTTTGCGTGTGTGTGTGTGTGTGCACATGGAGAGGCATCTAGGAAGGCTTGGGCACATAAATTATGGAAGATCCGGCGGCAGCAGCATCATGTATGCTGGGGACCAAAGGGTCAGCAGCGTCAGAGCAAGTACAATAGCATGACGTAGACGGGCTATAAGAGAGCCACACCGGATGTGTGCCTAGTTGGACGAGAGAGGAGAGAAGAGAGAAAAGAAGCGGGCTACAAACTTACAGCCAGCTATAGCATGAGCTCCAACACTCTTTGTGAGGGAAAGAGGTGGGCCATATATTAATGGTATAGCATACTTGTATGACTAACTATTGTATGAGTGGGCTATTAGATTGGCCATAAGGCCTCTTCCAATGCTCCACCATGTATAGATGTTAAGGCTACCAAGTAGGCATAAAATCTGATGTGGCGAGTTATTAATTATGAAGAGAGAGAAACTATTTTGGGGACCACAGGAACAAATGGTGCTAAGCGCATGTACCTAGGTGCGAAGACAATTTTGAGTTTATAGCTAATTAAATGGAGGAAGCTTAACAACAAAAAACAAATACTTATGCATTGAGGACTTCAGTTGCTAAGCTATTTAATGCACTTAGCACCTCATCTAAGCATCTTTGCATTGGAAGAGGTCTAGCTGATGTGGCAACTCCATATAGTCGGATGTTGGTTATACTATTAACCATGCTCTCAACTTCTGGTGAGAGGGAATCCGCTCGCTGGAGTGCACTACTCGTCACATGGTGAGCCATGGTTGGTGCAAAGGGTGGACGTCATGTCCTCCTGAGAGGCGGCGCCACTTGGGGAACCCAAAGAGATCGGCAATCACGCGGGACCGTGCGATGCAGTTTCCCCTTGATCTCGCGTGATGAACGTTAATCCAAGAGTGAGGTTGATCCCGAGACAGATTCGCTACCAGCTTC